TGCTGAGCCATCTCTCCAGCCTCTAAAGCACAAATCTTGACAGACTGGAGAGTCGGCTCAGCAGTTAAGAGCACTTGCTGCTCTTGCAGAGGGCCTGGGATCGATTCCTAGCACCCACATGGTGAGTCACAACCTCCATGAATTCAGTTCCAGGGGATCCAAGGGCCTCTTCTGATCTCCAAGGACACCAGGCATGAACATGGTGTACATGCATACCTGCAGCAAAATACTCATATGTAAAATAAAATGAATAAATCTAAAAATACATTTGTTTTATTTCTTTGTGTAGCTCTGGTCAACCTGGAACTCACTCTGTAGACCAGGCTGGCCTCGAACTCACAAAGATCTGCCCGCCTCTGCCTCTTCAGTGCTGAGATTAAAGGCATGCACCACTACCTCCTGGCCTAAAAAAATTTTTTTGAAGTAAAAAGTTATGTGTTTTATTTTAGTGTGTGTGTGTGTGTGTGTGTGTGTGTGTGTGTGCAAACTTGTGAATTGCTTCATGTGGGTACTGGGATCCCAAATCCAGTCCTCGGGTGGACAGCAATGTCTCTTTGGCCCCTACCACTCTTACTCTTACGTGCATCAGAATCTCACCACCCAAAGAGTGTTCTCTACCAGTGCTTTATCTCCGGGGAATTTCTCTTTTCGCTAATACTTCAAGCATGATAGAAAGACAAGGGTAATTGTGGGGACATAGAGAAGAAGTGAAGGACCCTGCCCCTAAAACTGAAGCCTGTCACTAGCTGAGAATCAGAATTCTAGCACAATCAACGCCATGTGCTGTAAGGGACGTCAATCATTACGGAGCCCAGGCTGGCCTTAACTCAAAACCACTATTTGATTGCAACTGTTTCTTCTCACTATATAGCCCTGGTTAGTCTGGAACTTGCTATGTAGACCAGGCTAGCCTAGAACTCACAGAGATTGACCTCCCAAGTGCTGTGACTAAAGATGTGGGTCACCTTGCTAGGCTCACAACTGATTCTTAGCTGTGTATATTCTGAGACCTTGATGTATTCAGTTCTCACTCAACAATCCCTGGTAAAGTTCTAGAGTTATTATAAAGTTTTCTATATAAACACCTCTGATAGGGACAGTTTTACTGCTTTCATTCCAATCTTCATTTTTTTTTCTTTTCTTTCCCATTCTCCTTCCCTCCCTCTCTCCCTCCCTCTCTCCTTCCTTCCCTTCCTTTCTCCCTTCATTCCTTCTTTGCTCTCTTATTTTTTTATGAGACAAGACCTGTCTTTGTAGCCCTAGCTGGCCTGCAACTCAGAGAGATCAGCCTGCCTCTGTCTTGCTAGTTCTGAGGTTACCATACCAAGCTATGCAGAAAGCTTTCTCGTCGGACTATCTTTGGACCTAGAGATTTATTATTAATTATTAAAGCTTGTCCTTAGCTTAGACTTTTTTCCAACTAGTTCTTTTTTTTTTACAAATTTTAAAAAATTTATTATGTATACAGTGTTCTGCCTGCTCACTAGAAGAGGGCACAACCGGATCTCAGTACATATGGTTGTGAGCCACCATGTGGTTGCTGGGAATTGAACTCAGGACCTCTGGAAGAGCAGCCGGTGCTCTTAACCTCTGAGCCATCTCTCCAGCCCTCAAGCTCTTAAAACTTAATTAATCCATATATTTTTTAATATCTACATTCTGCCACATGGCCCGGTTACATCTGACTTGCTCCGAGTCTGCTGTGTGCCTAGATTCCTCCTTCCTGTTTCCGTCTCTGCTCAGAAGTCCCACCTATACTTCCTGCCTAGCTATTGGCCATTCAGCTTTTTATTAGGCCAATCCCAGCAATACATCTTCACACAGTGTACAGATATCCCACAACAAGGCTGTTTATTTTTCTTGCCTTAGGCTGGTGAAGACCTTTAGACAATGATGAAAGTGCCATTTCTGCTTCAAGTCCAATGTTAATATTTATTTCATTTTTAGAGGCCAGCTTATGGTAAATGGTAATAGCTGAGCACAGGGAAGCCCTGAGTTCAATCTCTTGCTCTTAAAATAATAGGAGAGACTAGAGAAAGAATCATAGGAATGATACGATGCATTCCTGAGTGTTTATTTCTGAGTCATAGCTCTAAGGCAAATAGATAAGTCTCAGCCTTTCTTTCCTGTGAACAGCTCACGAGGCCCCCATGCTCTGTGTGTCCTTTAAAGGTCTCTCTCTCTCTCTCTCTCTCTCTCTCTCTCTCTCTCTCTCTCTCTCTCTCTCTCTCTCTNCTGTGTGTGTGTGTGTAGGTGTATGTGGAGGCCAGAGGTTGACACTGAGCGTCTTTCTCTGTCAGTTCTCCATCTTGTTTTCGGAGGCAAGGTCTCTCACTGAGCTCACCGATTTGCTGGCCAGCGAGCTCCAGAGATGTCCTGCTTGGCCCCTGGAGCTAGGATTGCAGATGTGGGTACCACAGCCTCCAGCTTTTCACACGGGTCCTGGGGAGCTCCTCCCACTTGACCGAGTCTTTTCCACAACCTGTAGTTTGCCATGGCCTGGAACTGGCTACACATCCCAGGCCAACCCTGAGCCCAAGATCTCCCTGCCTCAGCCACACAAGTGACAGAATTATAGCCTTGAATAACCAAACCTGGCTTAAAGGGCCTCCGTTTCAGTCTTTCCTATCCCCCTCTTCTCTGCTTTGCCTCAAAAGATCAATGAGTTAGAGAAAATGCTATCCCAAAATGTGGAACTTTGGCATCTAGTTGTGGCGGTAGGAATAGGGGAAGAGAAGGACTGTCTCTTCCTGACACTCCTCGCCTTCCCAGAAGCGACTGTGAAACGCCTTCCCTTCACTTTCTGGCCAGAGGCAAGCCATAAAACCAAGGAGGGCCTGGAATACCAGCACTGGAATACCAGTTGGAGATGATTGTAAATTCAGGGCTAGCCCGAGCCACATCTGGAAACCCTGTCTCAGAAGACCCAGCAAACAAAACCCTAGGTAGTCTGCCCTCTGACCTCTCCTCAGTGGTTCTCAACCTTCCTAACGCTGCGACCCTTTTAAATACAGTTCCTCATGTTGGGGTGATCCCCGACCATACATTTTTTTTGTTACTACTTCATAACTGTAATTTTGCTACTGTTATGAAAAGTTATGTATATACCCGTGTTTCCTGATGGTTTTAGGCAACCCTTGTGCAAGGGTCTTTCAACCTCCACAGAGATATAGAGCCACAGGTTGAGAAACACTTCCTTAAGCCCTTATTGGGACATGCATCCTGCCCTAAACTAGGAAGGAATGCCATGTAGAATGCCAAGCACCTCCCACTCCCAGTACATCTGGTGTGTGTATGTGTGAGCGCGCATGTATGCATCACTCAGGGTTGATGGCTGGGTCTTCATTATGGAAGTCAGGCTAGCCTCAAAGTCTCAATCTTCCTGCTTCCATCAGCTGTGAGCTGGGGTTACAGGTGCAGGGCAACAGGGGCAGCCGTCCGTCAGGTTTTTACTTCTGCTAGCCCTGTTATGCCCAGATCAAGGAGTCCCCCCCAAAACCAACTAGGAGACTGAGTCCTGTATGTAAAAGCAAGGAGCCTTTGTTCTTACACAAGTCTGCAAACTCGGACTCTCCGTGTGTCCAACTTATTGGAGTGGTCGGAGAGCCCTGAGCTCAGTTAGGGTTGGGGTTTTATAGTAGAGGGGTGAGGGATCGCTAAGGTTCAGGACCCCTGATTCACTGATATTTGTCTAGGGGTGCCCTGGTGAAAAGCTGTCGGGGTGTGTGCTGGCAGGTGATCCTATCTATAATTGTTGGAACGTTAGGAATTTCCTTTGGATGGTCTGTTTCTGGGTGGTGCCTGGGTGGACCCAGTGGTCTTTTCTGGAACCAGGTATTACCTTAGGGTAAACTACTGAGACTCAGGTCTCTATTGAACTTGTCACGACTGGGTCCTACGAGCCCTGCATCTCAGAAAGCACTTGTTACATCAATCTGGATGTTTCCCTCTTGCTCATCAGTCATCTTTTGCTATAGGGTCAGCTGGAGACAGGCCAGAGCAAGTCATTACTCTCCTTCTCCGCAGGGCTTTACCTCATCAGATGGTGTGAATCTTTCTTTTTAGACTTGAAAGTGTCATTGCCTCCACCACCTCATTTAGAGATCCTGGCAGTGAGGGCGACAGCTCAACTCAAGATAGCCACACTGTGCCCCTGACACTCCCTCCATCCGACATTCCTGGACAGAAAGCCTCCAGAGGGCTCTTCATAGATTCTACTCTGTGTGTTGTCCAGCGCCTGCAGGGGTTTCCAGCCCAGAGCCTCGGACCGCAAGGAAAGCAAGATGGATTCCACCAGGCACGCAGTGGGAGGTGCTGTGGAGAGAGGTGAACAGACATCCCAGGTCACGGCTACATTTCCAGGAGGATCAATGTCAGGGGAGAGTACACATTGACTCTGGAATCCAATTCCCTTACTAAAAGTGTGCCCAGCAATCAATATCCCTCCCCCACAAGAAAGGCTGCTCCCATCTGCATGTTAGCAGTCAAATAAAATCACATCTATCTGGGTGTGCTTGAGCGTGCCCGTAATCCCAACAAGGTCATCCTTGGCTGCACATCTGAGGCTAGCCTGGGCTACATGGGAACCTGTCTCAAAAATGTGTCAGTTTTCTTTTCAAGAGACAAACAGGGGCCGGAGAGCTGTGGGGTTGATGAACAGGGCTCCTGGGCGGGGCGGGGGGTGGGAGGGTCTCAAGATGAGGGTCTTTCCTCAGTGTGCTGATTCCAACATCATAATTTTACCTAATAAAAATAAAAGCAGCCCAGGCATGGTGGCACAGCCTGTAATTCCAGCCTGGGAGACAGAGACTGGCTTGTCTTCGTGAGTCTGAGGCCAGCCCAGTCTACAGGGTGAGTTCCAGGCCAGCCAGGGCTGCACAATGAGCCTGCTTATTAAAACTACCTAAAACACCAAAACCACACACACACACAAAAAAAAAAACTAAAAAAAAAAAAACTAAATGAATGAAAAATAAATAAAGCAAGCAAGCATCCCTGGGTTCTATGTTGTAGATAATTTATTGTTAAATGGAGAAGTCACAAAGCAAAAATGGAGTGGAACAGAAGTCAAAGGTAATTTTAAAACTTTTTTTTGTCTTTTGCTGTGTCAAATATTTTCTAAGTTTAAAAACAGGGAACACGTGAAATGAAGATACTTGTTCAAATGAAGTCTGCTTTTAGACGGTTGAAAGGAAGACTACCTTTCTCCAGAAATACACAGCATCTGCAACAGCCATAACTTAAGAATCAGAGCAAAAATCTTCATAATGAACACACCCGGTCTCTCACGCACACTTAGGAATGTCAAGTGAGTGAGTTTTAAACTCTTCCACTTTGCCAACTATGGGGAATCTGCTCTCGGCTGGCGACACCTCCATCAGGCTGCTCCGGGATGCCTGCAGCTTCCGGGCCTACAGCGTTCGAGGCAGGTTTGGAGAATGAGAGCTGGCTTCTGAAGAAGACCCTCACGGCGCAAAAACCACCTTTCCATCCCCAGTAGATATCCACAGTCGCTCGCTTCTACTTACTGATACAGTTCTGGTTCCATCCACACCTAGAATGTTCTGCCTGAACTTAACATGATCCAACTTAACTAAGACCAGAGAGAGAGAGAGAGAGACAGAGAAGGAGAAAATTCTTAAGATATCATTCTGAACCCAAAACACGTGTCTCCAAAGGGGCAGAGCAAAGCGTTGGTGATTTTCCTAATTTAAAAATTGCATTGCACCCCGCGGTGGTGGCGCACACCTTTAATTCCAGTACTCGCACTCAGACAGAGGCAGAGTTCAAGGTCAGTCTGGTCACAGAGCACACTCCAGGGCTGGCTCCACAGCTACTGAGAATCCCTGTCTCAGAAAAAAACAAAACAAAACAAAACAAAAATCCAACCAAACAAAAAAAGATTTTATTTATGCTTGGGGGTGGTGCACACCTTTAATCCCAGCACTCAAGAGGCAGAGGCAAGTGAATCTCTGTGAGTTTGAGGCCATCCTGGTCTACAGAGTGAGTTCCAGGACAGCCAGGAGAAACCCTGTCTTGGAAAACCACTCCCCCCCCCCAAAAAAAAATTGTATTTGCTTTTTTTTTTTGTCCCGAGATAGGATTTCTCGGTAGCTTTGGAGCCTTGTCCTGGAACTAGCTCTTATAGACCAGGCTGGCCTCGAACTCACAGAGATCTGCCTGCCTCTGCCTCCCGAGTGCTGGGAAAAAATGGTATTTGCAAAAAAAAAAAATTGTATTTCCCACTTCAGTGACATTATAAAGTGAGATAGAAAACCCACTTTTGCCAATAACTGCTTTCCCAAAGCCAAGCAGCATTTGTTACTCTGACTTCAACTGAGGAGCTTGTGTGCCCCAGTGTTTCCAACTGAGCTGCACCCTAGTCAGCTGAGACCCTGAAGCCAGCAACCTCTCTGCCCAGAGAGATGAGTTAAAAGCACAACAGACCCGGCACTGCCGTCTGCAGGGGGCACGGACTAGGCGGCTGTGGCTCTAGACAGCTCCACAGTCTTCAAACGAGAGTGATTATCTTTGCACCTCTTTACCATACTAACAAGTCTCTGCTGTAGCCCCAGGGGAGCCAGCTTGTTCTCAATTCTGCTTTCTGGACAGATGGAAACCATGCTCAGAGACCCAGAGACATCACAGAAGACAGAGCCGCTGTAACCCACTTGACATGATTTGGATGTATTCAGAGGAAATATGTACAGCTCGTTCTTTCCAGTGCTGGAATCAAACCCAGTTTGCCACTTTCTTTCCTGCAGCACTGTGGGGCCTGGCAGGGGGTTCTAAGGGGCAGGGGAGCAGGGGCAGCCTGGTGCACAGCACCCACTGGGTCAGCATTGTCCCTGCTACTGCGGCTGGCTCAGCTGGACTCTCTAAGTTGGCCGGGAAACACCTTTGATTCGTCACTTCTGGGGTGCAGTGGTACAGAAGAAATGTCCCCCATGGCCACAGTGTCACTTTCCCATTCCTGAATTCATCTTAGCTTCCTCTGGATGGTAAGCAATATTGCTTGCTTTTTTGGGTTAAACCCAATTCCCCCCAGTCACATCTGAGTCTGTCTCCTCCTACTGCAGCTGCTCTTAGGCATGGCGGCCCACAGCGGGGTCCCTTTTCATGCACTTCCAACATGCGTTTTTTTCCAAAGCATTCTTTCAAAAGGCCGTTTCTCTCAAAAAGAGCCCTCTGCTGCATTTTTGCCTTGTGAAAAAAAAAAAAAAAAGGAAAGTATTTCAAAACCCCAAAATACCTATGAGCAGAATTACACAAGTCTAGGGAGATGTTAACCAGATGCCAAGCATGCTAGGGCTGCTCCAGAGCCCGCGCCTGGAACCAACCTTTGAGAACCAGACGGGTAGTGCCCCAGACCGGGCTAGCTGTTTACCCAATCCAACGACGGCGGAACGGGCAGAGAGCTTATGTTTCACAGGCATCTCCTTTTGTGGTTTTTGTTTTTCTCCTCTAATATCATGAAAAAGATTTTGATAATACTAAGAATTTGGATTAGCAGGGGAAAAAAAAGGAAGTGGAAACAAAAAACTGGTCCAGCACGGGAGTCTCCCCAGATTGGGCACATCTGTGCATCACAGCCCCCAGAGGCAGCTCCCTTTCAAGATATGCGTGGCTGAAATTTCTTAGAATTCACTCTTTCTACTCCAGAGACGGTCCCACTTTCTTCATCAGAAAATGGAGGACAAGCTCACCTCAGCCCGTCCTGATGGCGTCGTCCTTTTGTTCTGCCTATCTTTGATTTCCCCCAAACAGAGACTTTGGGGAAACTGCATCAACCAACCAGAACATACATATACCTGCTCCTTTAAAAGAAACTATCCGAAAAATTTTAAACGAAGCCAAGTTTCTCTATTATTTTAAGATGCAGTGATTTTTTTTTCTCCTTCCCCTGGCTAGGCTTAGAGGTATCTCCAGGTTAGACTCCCCTGGGGCTGGGGTGACGTGCAAGAGCAAAGCGTCACCCAGCTTGTCCAGGATGGTCTGGGGGCCAGGGCAGTGTGTGAAGAGCAGGCCCAACCCCGAGTAGCTAGCTTGAGTCAGCATTCATCCGAGAGACTGTCACTACCCAGGAACTCTGTGGCCTCGAGCTCCACGCTGGACAGAAACCTCCTCAGCTTCTTGTGGCAGTTGTAATCCAGAGTGGTGGTGTAGACGGTCTTGGGGTACTTGGGGTAGACGATGGTGGTGCTGAGGAAGCGCGTGGCCTTGTGGCGGGGCTCGAAGCGCACTTCGGCCTTATAGTTTCGCCAAGTGCAATTGGGGATACAGGTGACTGTCTGGCTGCAGGAAGCCACCACCAGGCCCAGGGGCATCTGCACATCGTCAATGAAGTGTCTCTCAGAGTCGTACTTGACCGAGGAAGTATACCTGTAGGGAGACACAAGCCAGCATGAAGCTGTCCTGAGCTAGGAACATGGGGTCCCAAGTGTGATGGCTCATCTCTCCTGGGGTGCATCAGGGAGAAGCAGCAAGAGTCTACAGGAGTGTTTTATGGGAGGCACGTTACTCCAGCTGCTTCTGTCTCAGGACCTAAATGGAGCTTCCCAAGCATCCTGGAAGAGGAAAGACAGATGAAGAGACGAAGGTCTCAGTGTCCGTGAATGAAGGACCTGGGTGGGTGGATGGGTGGTTGAATGGATGGATGGACAGACGGACGGACGGACTGACTGATGCATTTGCAGGGCTGGGGATACAAACCATAGCCTTGAGTGCTAAGCAAGAACTCTACCCCTGAGCTAAGCTCCCAGGCGTGAGCTGGGACCTAAATGCAGCACACAGGCTTCTGAAGTTTACCATTTCCCACAGCAGGCCACAGCCCTGAATTCCATTCCCATTTACATAAGAAGCTAGAAGCCCTCAGCCTAACGACTTAACTTGCCTATGCCTCGAATCCTCTCTTATGACAAAGGGTCTACATGCAGCCAAGTGCTGCTGGGGTAATTAAGTCACTCACAGCACATAGCCATTCTGGGTTTGGTCATTGACTGGCCACATGTACGACAGTGGTCCCACGGATTATATCACCCAGTGACATAGCACCTTCTTATTATGCCCAAGTGCATTCTGGCATGTGATGACTTGATACAAGTTAGAGTCTTCGGAGAAGAAGTAACCTCGATTGAGAAAATGCCTCCAGAAGTTTAGCCTGAGGGCAAGTCGGTGTGACATTTTCGCGACTAGTGGTTGATGTGGATGAGTGCAGCCCACTGTGGGCAGCGCCATCCCTGGGTAGGTGGTCCCAGGGTGTATAAGGAAGCAAGCTGAGCAAACTCGGGAGTGAGCCAGTAAGCAGTGCTCCTCCATTGTTCCTGCTTCTGGGCTCTTGCCTTGACTTCCTTTTATGATGTGAACTAAGACGTCGTGCGGTGACGGTGACATTACCTGAGGACCTGTTCTCTGAACGGCTCTGTTGTTGGGCAGAGCTGAGTCATGGAATAAAGTGGAGTCAGCTGCTCTCTGGGGTAAAGAGCTTCTCCATCTGCTCCATGAGCAGCTAGCTCTTGAATGAGAAGAATTCTAGAACTGCCAAGTGCTATGCCATGGCCTCAACTATGGTTTGGAAACCTCCCAACTCTGGGAGACCAGGGACCTGACCCTGTCAATGAAAGCCAAGTGCATCCCTGATGGCCACAAACGAATTCGCCATTTACATCCCTCAGTTGCTTTTCTACCACGACTACCACCTCCACCACCTCTACCACCACCACCTCCTCCACCACCACCACCACCTCCACCACCA